CCAAGTCAAGTCCCCAGCCAACAAAGTTATAAATGCAAGATGCAACCCATAATCCGAAAAACTTGCTTTCGTTTATAAAAATTCGACGATGGTTAGTGTATTTGAGGAGGATTCCACGATAAGGTTGAAGGTGGAGGAAGGGGGAACTCACCAAGTGGAAAGACGGGCGAAGCCTCCCCGGGAAATTAGGTGCTGGTCCGCACCCTCAGGGGATCTGCATATCTTTTTAGCAGTCTAGCATGGCCCTCCGCGGCGCGATACGCCCATCGACTGGCTGACCATTCGCCGCAGGTCCACACGTTTATCAGAGAGAGTGAAAGAAGGAAAGAAAAGAGAGAACGACAGCGCTAAAGAGGGCAGCACTGGAAAGAGCAGAAATTAACGGGTAAGGAAGCGGCTCCATTTCTCAGGTTTTGGGCGGTTTCTAATTCTTTTTTCTTCATATCGGCACCACTGACCGACTCCACCTTGCTGCTTCCAATAGTAAACTTCGCCCTCAAGAAATCAGGTACACTCATGAGTATCCAACCAACCTTCAAATTCGGCGTCCACAGGTGGTCGAGTAGGTTTTCTTGACGAAGTCGATTGTACTCTAAAGCAGTAAATGAAAAATGGAACAAATAGAAAGAAGTACTGGGCCAAGTCGTTATGTGGAAAATATCACCATTTCCCCTATTTTCATGAATCATCACATACTTTTTACACTTTTAACAGAAGGCGCGATCTGGAACGAAACCTGATTATGGATGATCGACAGCAGCCACCCCCTCACCCCCAAAGCCCGTTATTCACTTTTCCTGGCCCTCAGCTTTCCAACTTCAGTGGAAGGCATTTATAAAGGATGGAAGCTAAAGTATTCGGTGTTGAACGCTTCCTTTCGGGTTGTGCCATGCATCTAATTCCATTCGGAATGGTAATGGTACTTTGAAAGCGACTAGGCCTATATAAAGACAAAACAGAAGCAGACTATGCACTGTTAGTATTTAGCTCCTCCCTGTCAAATATGGTTTCAATAACCCGTTCGTGGGCGGCCGAAATGCTGGGTTAGCCTCTACGGCGTGCGAGGCAGGATTCGATCCCTGGACCGTGCGCGTGGTAGGCAGCGCCACTTATCAGTACACCTCTTTCTTGCCTCGATGAGAAAAATATGAAAATTTATTCACATCAAGGTTCCTACCTGTCCGATTCTGTAATTTCTTTCTCGACCGCAGGAGGATTTGAACTTTCTGGCTGTTCAGCTTCTGGAAGTGCTTTCGCTCCACCTAAAAAACAATCGATTTGAATCTTTAAAGCAAATTGAATACTGCACCACGACGCACTTATTCGTTGGTAATACTCGTGTAAAAGCGAATCGGGCGACATAATCACCTACCCTTAGTACGCTTGGGTGCTTTCACTTTTTGACGTTGTTTGGACGACGAGACTTTCTGAACAGAATAGAAATAATTTCACACTACATCGAACGATTACCCCAGGGATTAGTTGGGAAAAGGAAACTCTTGCATCTTGCAGAAAATAGGAAGCCAGACAACTATTTCTTCCATGGTTTTGGAGATTGAATCACGTAATATATCAAAATAAACCGCCAAATTCTACTTATACTGGTAACAACAAAGCCATTATAGTAAACAAACTTTAGTTGAACATTCACTAGCAGCATCATCGATTGAAGGAGGAGGTTCAGCAGTAGGCCTTAAAATATATTTGATTTGTCACTGAATGCAAACGGAAAGTAGATAAATTGGACACAGCTTACGGCTTCGGTTTGGGCTTCCTTTTCTTTTTCGGAGGCGGTGGTACCTCTGCTACTGGCTGATCTTCTGAGACTATCTCCCTTCCAATTTCCTCACCATCATCCACAGCCGAAATTTTCTAAATCGGAATATATATCGCGCCTAAATCACCGAAATATGATATGAGACTCTAAACCAAAAAGATCCCAACCGTGCATCTTTCGGATCTCGTACGCGGTCGATTTCTCGCATTTTATTACTACGATTGAAGCCATCCATCCTTGCCTTTAATCGACGACCGTCGAACTTAGATTCTTGCACAGGCTCTATCTTATTTCAGGCTGCATCCGTTCACCGGCCATGTTCCATCTTCAGCGCAAATCATTTCCTAAAAAAAATTCCCGGCGTCATATTTCCCCAGAGTGCGACTCGATTCGCTGTATGTAATTAATTAGTAGCACTACGCGTTAACATACCAATTCAATATGAATCGGCTATTCAGAATGGTTGCCATGCCAATGTTCGTCATGAGCAATACTATGGTAATGACTGAGAGTTTGGTCAAATTCGTCTGAGCCATTAACGGGTACCATCTCATCTCAGAAGGCTTTGCCGCAAGTCAGAACAAGTGTAGAAAAAATAGAGAAACAAGCTCATGCTATCATAAATTCTCTTCAGTATAATGTGCCATCGCGTAGCAACTCATCCATTGAAAAATACTGACGTTCGAATCGATCCTCGCATGCCGACTATAGCGTACAAGTGTATTAAAAGTCCATGTTGATCCTCTAACATCTGTACCAATCCGCCGATATGAATGCGAGAGGCCAGAACATTGGCTAGGCTCCGACGAGACTCGTTTTCTGGAGCGATATTAACAATGGCGCGTGAAGAGCGACAAACCTTTGCCGCTACATCGCCATCTATCTCCCAATCCAAACCAGAAAGGAAGTAAAACGCATTGGCTCCGAGATCCCCATAACGTCTTCTGCAAGTAAATGTATAGGTCGAAGAACGGGTTCACCAAGCGTCCCAACATGTTCCAGAACGATATTGCACGCATGGCGCACCATGCGAAGGTAAAATGAACGCCGAACAAATGAACGCATTTTTTCTTTTCCACTTGACAGGTAAACTGAAGTAAAATCACCGAAACTTGAGCAGCTTGAAGAGCTTACCGGATCAGCTTCCTCAGTGTCGATTACTCCAACTCAACTTTATCAATTTCACACTTCAATGATGAATATATTCTGAAAATATACAAAGCACATAAATTGCCTCCTAAGGTACATCGAACAAAACCCACTTGTTCAGGCGATTCAAAAAATTGTCTCCTATTTCAGCCGCGATAGGACGGCTCGAAACCTGGCTTTGCTTGAGTTCCATTTCCCTCTGCACATGGGCCATGGTCTGAAACATTTAATGAAAACTATACACCATCACGAAAACCTGAAAAATAAATATAGGACCTTCAAGACAGGATGTTCCATAATGTAGATCGCGTAAGCTTCTAGAGGACGCACGTGTCGCCTTTCATCATCAGTCACTACTCATCGCTGACAAAACGCACCGGTATACGCCCGCAGTTGGCAAGCGCGGTCGTTACTAAAACAAACCATTTTAGCAGTTCTCACTCTGAAACTGAAATTATCTTATTTTGTTTAATGGCTGGACTTACAACATTTTTGGGGACAAGGGAGGCGCGACCGCTAAATGCGTCGTCTGTCAAAAGTTTATAGATGCAGCCAATGGTGTCTAAATGACGACCGGGAAGGAGCACATCGGTGACAAAGTGTTTCAAGTCGATGAGATCAAGTGGAGTTGCAAGAATCTGAATAAGTCGACTCTGAGACCCTCGAAAGCAGAAACTTTGAAAAGGGTGTACCTTTGAGGCATAGTCTGTGGGTTGTGCATAATATAGCACATAGGTGTCGGTAGATTCCAAAAATTCTCACTACTAAAAAATTGTAACGATCGTGAAGCACCACAACTACAAAAACTTAATCTTCCCGAACGAAAAAGACAATGATAAGGTTTTGAGCTTCGATTCCTATTCGCAATGCGCCGCGCATTCGACCTCCATCAGAATCCTAGCGGTATTCCAAGATTTATCTGCCTAGACAATTTTACTGTAGTCAGTTCCATAAAGAATCATCGTGTCGCCCTACACCAAACATGATAGTTGGTCCAAGAACTCAAGCAATCAAACCTAGGTTCGCCCCTAGATCTCATTGTGAGTTTCTTGCCTCCAGCTGACTTCTAAGTTTTAACCACGTTGACGACACGCCCTTGTGCGCAAACCTACTCACCTTATTTTAGAAATTTGCATTAACAGTTACTACATTACCAATAATTTCATTAGTGGTAACGAGAGAACTATTTTTTGTATCCAACAGTAGGAAGGGCCAGTCTTGAATCATGAAAATGGAGGCACAATTTAGGAAAAACAAGTCTCTTCCGTGTGAGAGTGTCGACGTAACTTCCTCGCGCTGTCCCGTGTCAAAGTGTTAATCATGTATGGCCTACGCCTACCGGCATCAATCCAACTCCAATATGTAATTAGAACAATTGTTTGGGATCGACCAAGGAGATCGGAAACCTCACTGTTAAGCTTCCCCTAAATGTCCTCCCATTCTGACTCATTTGTGTCCTTTGCGTAGTCCAAAAGCCAGCTCTCGAGGAAACATTCTCGAACTTAAAATTAAACAGAAATTAAACACCAATGAAAATTGATTGGGCGCCCGCTCTATGAGACTCCTCCAATAGTTCGGGAAATGTTCAACATCACCAACGTCGATATTACATAACTCGAAATCAACAGCGACTTCATAGAATTTGACCAGCCTGAAGAGAAATGAGAACAATTTTTTTCTATCTCGATATTATAGAGAAAGAAGGAAGGAATGAAGATACCTTTTCAAGTAATCGGCAAAAAAAAAACCTGGAAAACTGAGAAAATAAAATTTCCTTGTGTCATTCAGGATTCGAACCCGTATCCGTCTCGTTTCCAGACGAGCGTGCTACCAGCTACAGATCGACAAGTTAAAACTAATATCTGCTACAGTAATTTAGAACAAGTCAAAATTACTGCCTAGGCTAAGTTTTGCAATGCGAATGAAAGCAATGGGATGCTTCTATCAAGTGAATACCTCCATGAGACATATCGAGGATTAAAAACGTTAAGTGTTTTTTCGTCAACTTCGTGCAGCGTTAGTAAATTTTTGGCATGAAGCGCAGGCTATGATCTGTATTAATGTGGTCATATTCATAAAACCGATTCTTGGTTGCAAATTCTTAAAATCTTATTGTTAGATACTAGTCTACCAATTGTATCATTGACTATTTGTTTACCAGAAGATTTTGGTCCAAACAAAGGCATATTCATACACAAACACAAGGGATTGAAATACGGAATCCGTTCAGCGTGGGTTGTCTGATAACAATCATTGCTTCAGTTAATTTTTCAAACACTACTTGAGTCAACAAAGGACATTAATCTCAATAGCCTACCCGTACTTCTACCACGCTCAAAACCATTACGGGGACACTAATGCTCTCCAGTAACGCCACGTTTGGAATAGGTAAATTAGCTTTCGTTGCGAGCCTTGCGAATGCCCGACATTGAAATGGGGTACCGTTTTCCTAAGAAAATAATTTCTTGGAGATGCTTCTGTCGCAATGTTCGGTGAAATTTTACTGGATGAATGTCAGCTGATTTTAGAGAAAAATTAAAGAAGATATTAATAAGTGTTACCAACGATAACAATTATAACTCGGTTTCGCTCAATTTTAGCACCACTCTCGGCCAACTCATCGGACTGAATGCTTCTCTTTGAATGCCTCCAAAAGCAAATCCACATCGCTCAGGACGCCGGTGTTAATTAAAGGGACGGTAACACCAATACGCATTGTATCAGGCCACCTCTAAATACAAAAACTATTACACCGAAAATCACTGGATTTCGCCTGCCCATCAGCTACAGACACGTAGAACCAACTCCTTTAGTGCAATTCAACGGGCAGGAACTACCAGGAAATCATTAGTTTTCGTTTCCAGTGAGAGCACTATTACGGCCATTTTAATGTACACAGCACCAATGATTGGATATCTGCTTATTTGCTGCTTAACACAGCTAACATGTGTGCATAGTTCTCCTTTGCCTCTATGGTGCGCATAAACATGGTACAGAGAAATGCACAACAGCCATGCATATTCGAACAATTACGAAGGCTGCATGATTTAAACCTGAAACCGCGCACGACCGCCATTTCCTTTTTTGCATAGAATTCTAATATCTCATAGCTTCGCGACCTTTATTTGGGGGATGGCTCCACCTAATCCAAAACTACTGAAATTTCTGGTCTACGCAGTCGGGTGGGGCCTGCCAAAAATTGTCATTGTAAATATTGTCCAAAAGCGTATCGGCACGGACGAACGTATATACACAAAAACCCTGAAGAAATGACGTAGGATTAAAGCTGATAGCACTTCGTACCTTTACAGGACTACTCGAGCCAGACTGATATAAGGCAGACTGTATACCGCAATGCCCCCTCTCACTGAATGAGACCCCTGAAAAGTCTAATAATGGTCACCATTTCTCAGAAAACAGAAAGGGTCCTGAGCATTGAATGGGATCAAGAACTATAAAATTCAAATTCTACGAATACAATTCATTAAAAACCGCGACTGTGTGATTGCCCACCGCTCTGTGAACAGATAACGCTCATGTTCAACAACATAGTGCTTAAAAATGATAGCTGTAATGGGAAGTATTTATTTGTGAAAAATAATGTCATCAAGTTAAGTAAGATAAAGCAAGACCACGTAATGAATTGATAGAAGTCTATTCTAAAACCCATTTTCTAGGCGACTAAATTCTGCAATGATGGCAAAAGAACAATTAGATTATGCAAAATGTACAGAAACAAATGCGAGAAACAGCTAGATGTGAATTACAGGACATTCAGGATTTCAGGAGAGGACACAGCACCGCAATTATCAAAAGATTTTGGTCAAGTGCGTCGTTGTTAATTCAAAAAATAAGGAGAAAATCACGAGCAATCACAGAATTCAGAAAATGTGCAAGTATGATACGAGAGGAAAGCTTTAAAAGTTAACTGCGAAGAGGCGAATGGAAACTAAGAAAAAGGAAAGGTAAAAACTAATAAAAGATATGATCAAGCAAAGATCTAATCAAATAAAATAGCATGTTAAACGACTGTTATCACTTGAAATTGGGATTTGTGAAACCCGACTGTGCATTTCGCATAAACTGAAGTATATCTTTCTTCGTTATTATTCCAAGCACTTTTCCATTTTTCGTCACTAGTACCTGAAGTAAAAACAATTTCGAAAGAATCCCGGTTAAATGCAGCATGGAATAATTCTAAAATCATTAACGTTATTTAGGACCGTTGCTAAGCCTTCCACCTAGAGATGCGAAGAAAATTCATTTAAGCTAGCTATTTGTCTATGAAATAGCTTTTATTTAAATTACTGTTTACACTTTTAGTGAATTTTTATAATAACATATGCAAACAATGGGTTTAAAAGACGCCGTTTCTTACGGCACACTCATTGGGAAAAAAGTGAAATTCATAAGGATTCTTTCCTAT